TGATGCCCACGTCTGACAGCACAAAATGTAAAATTCGGCCTGCTAGCACTTGCATGCTATGTTGATTGCTTTGGTAAATGAATATACAAACAAATAATTAAATCTGATGATGAGATGATATTCTCTACGGGATGATTTGAAGGTGGTGTTGGGTTGTACTTGTGCTGTAGAGTGGCAATATGGACTTTTTACCAATGGCTCTAGGGATATTAAAAACATGCTCGTATGCTGCGAAAACTACAGATATGCAGCACATCACAAATCAAATAGTTATTTGTGACTGGGGAGCCAACATAAGCAGTAGGCTTCAGCTTTCCAGCACTTGAGTAAAGATTTTATGCCATAGGGCCTACCTAAGCTAATAGCTTCGCCCGCTGAGGCATAAAACGCAACTACGTAATTAGCAACACACTACTTCAAGCTATCTAATACTATAGAACGTCCGCTATACTGTTAAACAGTATTGAAGTTATATATGAATTAACAGTAGTAAAACTCAAAAAGTCATTGGGTAAGCTCAGGTCGGTATCAAACACATTTAAGCAGGCACTAGTACAATATATCTATTCAATCCATATCAGTTTTTCTAGTCAAATCCTTCATCCTCTTTACACTTGCTACCTCAATCTAAAGTATCAGTAACCGCTTCTCTAACCCATTAGCGAGCGAAAGTGGCAGACAGAAAAATCCCCTCGTAATAAATAGCTACATGTACACCACCCCGAAAGAGAAAACCCGCCTGCAACTAGTCCAGTTCCTTACACAAACCAGAACATACTAAAATTTCAAGTAGAAGCTTGCAAAGCATAGATCCTCCGGTTGTAAAAAGATCGTCCCCTCAGCTTGTAATTGTTAAAGTAGGTCGTAAGATCGTAATTTCAGGCTTTCTTTTGGAAGGTTAACTTGTTTACAGGCAACCTTGTCAAAAAAAAAAAGCTATGAAAAAGGAGGAGAGCCTATGGAAAAGACCATTAAAGCTGCGAGGATATAAATGGGGAGCTTTGGCTTTCTATCATCTCCGGTGAGGTTAAAAATGCTGTGAAGCCTCCCGATTCAGACAACAAATACGTTAGGCAGCAGCCAGCCCTACAGCGAGGTCAAAAATGCAGTGAAATACTACCAAGTTATGCGGCACATGGAGAGTTGGACCAATAGTTTTCGTGTGACTGGGGAGCTGATATACGGAGTGGGCCAGCTCTCGGGGGAGGTTAAAAATGCTGTGAAAACTTGAGGCTGCCCACGAGGGCCGCTTATGTAGATCTTGAGTTGTTCGCGTGACGGGGAGCTGATATACTTTGTGGGCACGGTCTCTCCAGCACTCTGGTGAGGCTAAATTTGCTGTGAAGAAAATGGTCTGAAGACGGCATGAGAAAAATAAGATCCAATGAGCTTCATTGTCTGACGCTCGCGCCAGGATGAAACTGCTGTGATGCTACCCAAACTCGGTCGATAAAAAGCGTGGCACCGTGACCTATTACGGCTCTAGCAGTTGGGTAAGGTCAAAAATCCTGTGTCAATACTTTTCAATAAATCTAACTAAAATGGAAACCCATATAGCTAGGTACCCTTACTACCAGTTTGAAAATATTAGTAAACAAGGTCAAAGTCAGCCCGTTTGCTTCGTTTACCTGCCTACCTGGTATTTAATAATATATTATAGTGGACGCAATGATGCCACATCAAACCTGGGAGGCACATATTGGTTGTCTTTATTTAGATGGTACATATATATTCAAAAGAATTAACAAGTAGTGTTGTATATATTATATATAATGTTCGCATTTGAATCCAGTGTAGTAGATCATTCTTGCAATATACAGCATTAATAATCTTGGCTTCCAAGATGGGCATGTTAAATAGTTGACGTGAATGAATATATAAATAAATAAAATCGGTGATAGGATAGTATTCTATAATAGATAGTGTTGGGATTGGTCATATTCTTCTTTGAAGCTGTAATGTAGGATTGCTGTTTGCTGTGTGAGCTGCGATCAATTGCTCAAGGGAGGTTAAAATGCAATATAAGTATCTAAAGTGCAATACATCAAATTGAAAAATTCCTTATTTTCCCCGGCAGCAATACATAAAATTGTAAAATTCAGCTCTGGCACCTTGAGTTAGGTTAAACATGCTGTGAAGCGAATGAACTCGGAAGGCTGCCCTTCACATACTTACTAGGTACTTGAAGCCGCTGGAATTCTGGACAACGGGCAGTCTACCAACCTTTTCTTATAATTGGAGAGCCGGCATAAGTACATGTAGTGGGCTTTGGCTCTCCAGAGGCGAAAAACGCTGTGAAGAAGACTTGGTCAAGTCTGTCTGACCAAGTCGCCGATCTGGTGCTATATCCGACACCGGACCTTTTTATGATTGGAAGATGTTTAATAATGGCGGGGGTTTTAGCTCTCCAGCTCCCGGGTGAGGTTAAAACTGCTGTGAATCTACCCGGTGCAATAAAAACTTAACTCTCCGGCACTTGCACTACAGTGGCTAAGAGTGCTGTGAAATATTAGTTATATATATAGATGTGTCATATAGAGGTTGGATTAATACTTTGTGTAACTGCGTAGCTGATATCCTTAGTGGGCTTTAGCTCTCTAGCTCTCGGGTGAGGTTAAAAATGCTGTGAAGGATCTTCCACCTTGCCCCTTCATGTCAGGGAGTTAATACTATAATGAGGCTTATGCTTTCTAGCATTCGGTTGAGGTTAAGAATGCTGTGAAATTCTTGAGTCATTTGCTATTTGGGAGCTGAGGTAAATAGCAGGCTTCAACTGTCCAGCACTTGGGTGAGATTAAAAACGTTATGAGGGAGATGGAAATTTTTGTCGACCGTAAGCATCACACTAGGATTCACTACAGCTTTAGTGGTCGAGTGAGGTTAAACATCTTGTGTCTCTATTTGTCAGTAATCCTCACCACAGTGAAAACCCATATAGCAGGTTAAAAAGACTTGTGAACAAGGAAATCCGCTCATTCGCTTCGTTTACTTATGTAACTAATAATAACGCAGAACACCTCCGCAGTTGACGCTGTGATATCGCATTTAGGAACATCAACTATATAGTCTTTGCGTTAGAATCACTTGTTTTATATGTCACATATGATACTAGCATTCAAATAAAGTGCAATAGATTATGACTATATGGCAGCATTGTAAGCCCTAGCTCTTGAGATTAGGCATAATAATCACTTTTAGTAAATAGATATATAAATAGATCTGATGATAGGGTGACGCTCTATAACAGATGGTGCGAAGATTAACGTCATCATTTATCCTTCTCTGGCTCTTGTAATGTTGGGTGGCAATTAGGCCGCAAATAACCACTCGAGGGAGGTTAAGAATGCTGTGAAGGAACCGATCCAGCGGATAGGAGGGTATCTTTAGGCAGCAGCCAGCTCTCGAGGGAGGTTGAAAATGCTGTGAAGGCGAGCGGCTCCAGGCATCTATGCATTGCTGCCTAGACCTGACAGCTATCTAAACATAAAATTTTAGAGTTCAGTTCTCCAGCACTTACACTCCGGGAAGATTAAGAACGCTGTGAAATACTAATTATGCAGCATGTAGAGAGTTAGACTAATAGTTCTTTATGTAACTGGGGAGCTCATATATAAAGTGGGTTTAAAGCTTTCTAGCTCTCGCGTGAGGTAAAAAATGCTGTGAAAAAGACAGGGACCCTTTGCAACAGAGTCCCACTACTGCCAGGTACTAGGTATGTACTACCTAGTAGTTGCCTAGGTACCTAGTACTCTCATATATACCTACTAGGTAGGTAACACGAAGCCGACATAAGCGGTATGGAGGCTTTATCACTCGGGCGATGTGAACATGTCGTCTGTAGAGGCCACTAAGCCTTGTAGTACACCAGATACCCTTTTATGATTAGAGGATATAAATAGGGGCCCGGGATTTAACTCTACATGACCTTAAGAGAGGTTAAGAATGCTGTGAAAAAGGAAATGAATCATGAACCTTGAGGTGGCAATTTGTGATCGGGAACTGAGATAAGAGTGCCCGGGCTTTAACTCTACTCTCCAGCGCTTGGGTGAGGCTATAAATGCTGTGAAATGTTGTGAATGAGGTGACCTGGAGATCTGTTGGTTGATCATTGGCCCGGATGCCAGGCCCTTTGTTATGATTGGGAGATCTAGCACTCGGGTGAGGTTAAGAATGCTGCGAAGTAATCTGTCAGCATTACTATGCTGACACAGTACCTAGTTGACTTGTTGACCAATTGAAAGCCCATGCTTCAGCTGCCCAGCTTCTAGGTGAGGTTAAAGACGCTGTGAAAACGCAAATCAGCCAGTGAGTGTCGACAGACGGGTAGCTTTTGAGCCTCAGCCTAAATTAGTAGGTAACTTATCACAATACATGTACTATTGCAGTTGAGACAGTGATCCTACGTCTGGGAACAAATTATCAGTCTTTACTTGGATATGTATATACTGGATTCAACAACTGGTTTCATATTATAGATGTTGCTAGCTTTCGAATCAAGCGCAATATCAGTCATTATTTCAATCTGCGGCATCATAAACACTAGCTCTCAAGCATGACACCCCCAATTCAATATCACGTTGTCACATGCAATAGAACATAAAAATCTGGCCCGAAAAATTACTGCATTTTTGAGAATGCTAGAAATTACAAGAGTAGAAAAGGAAAAGTAAAGAAAATAGAATATCTTCCATCTCGAAGATCAGTCCATCCCCCCAAAATCTGAAGTGATGAAAAAAGTATTAAATCAGGCCACGCCCGGGATATCGTACAGCATGAGCATATTACACAGATATGCTCCACCTTCCCTTCGTAGCACAGGGACCATGACACATAACATGAGATATGAAAAGTTAGGAAAAGTTTGTGGTTGAATGCACACATTACAAGTTTGATGACATAGGAAAAAGATAAGAAGCAACAACTCTTACTCCGCGGCGGGAGCAGCTGGTTGATCTGACGAGGTTGCTGTCTTATCTGACTTACCGGTACTCTCCTTGTCCTTATCCTTGTCCTTGGTGCTCTGCTCTTTCGGTCTTGAGGCTAACGAAGTCGCAGAGGATGAAGGTTTCTTGGCTGAGGATGTGGTTGCGGACGAGGAGGTTGCTGATGGTTTTCTGGCTGTAGATGAGGACCGAGTGGAAGAAGTAGTAGGTTTTCGTGTTACTGAAGGCGAAGACGGCGTTGCGGCGGAAGAAGAAACCTTTCTCGTTGTTGAAGACGATCTGGCTGTTGATGTGGACCTCGTTGTTGACGTGGATCTCGCCGTTGACGAAGACCTGACTGCTACTGAAGACGATCTTGCTACGGAAGACGTTCTTGTTGTTGACGTGGACCTTGCCGTTGAGGGTGCTCTTGTTGTTGATGTGGACCTCGCCGCTGAGGGCGTTCTTGTCGTTGACGTTGATCTTGCGACAGACGGTGTTCTTGTCGTAGATGTAGATCTCGCTGTGGAGGGAGTTCTTGTTGTGGAAGTAGATCTTGCTGCTGAAGTTCTCGTTGTGGAAGTCGATCTCGCCGTTGAAGACGTTCTTGTGGTTGAAGAAGATCTAGTTGCTGAGGAAGAGGTTGCGGATGTAGAAGAAGACACCTTCCTCGTCGAAGAGGACTGCGTCGCGGAAGGCTTTCTGGTGGAAGGGGAGGAGGTTAGAGAGGAGGCGGGCTTCTTGGCCGAGGTTGGAGACGCGGCAGGTTTTCTCGCAGACGAAGAAAGGGTTGACGTTGACGTTTTGAGCGCAGGCTTCGCCTTGTCCTTGTCTCCGGGCTTGGCGTCTTTAGAAGCAGAAGAAGAAAAAGAAGTTTTTTTTTTGCCCTTTTCGGCGCTGGACGACTTCTTGGCTTTCTCGTCCGTCTTGGCCGTGGCGTCCGGGGCGGGCTCGGCGGCGGGCTGTGATGTGACGGCTTCTCCCTCTGCGGTTGGCTCGGCCTTTTCATTCTCCTCTTCCTTTTCCTCCTCGGCCTCCTTCTTCTCATCAACATCGTCGTTGTCGTTATCGTTATCGTGGTCGTTGTCACTTTCCTCTTCCTCTTCCTCCTTGACTTCTTCAAGTTCTTCATGTTCCTCGTGTTCAGATTTGGCATCTTGTTCATCAGATTTGTCCTGTGCCTCCTTTGCGTCGGGCTTGGCCTCTTCGTGCTCTTCTTCCGCAGCCTTCTCCTTCAGGTTGTCATCTTGCTTAGCTTCAACCTTCTCCTCTTCCTTCTTGTCTTGGTGCTTCTCGGCGTCCTCCTTCTCGGCCTCTGGCTCTGCGGTCTTGGGCTCCTCTGCTTTTTGTTCTTCGACCTTGGCTGGTTCCTCTGCCTTCTCCTTGGCCGTCTCGGCCACTTCAGTCTTCTCCTTTGGCTCCTCCTTTGGCTCAGCCGCTGGTTCTTCCTTCTCCTTCTCCTTTCCGTGCACCTTCTTCCGCAAAGAGTTCAGACGAAGCTCCTTAGCCTTCTTTGCTGCTTCATCGGCAATGGATTGCACGGACTGCACAGATTGCACAGAGCGCACCGTATCTATGCTGGCCCTTGGGGTTGGGCCACCGCCAACCTTGGGCTCAGGGACCGGGCCAGGGGGAGGCGGAGGAACGGCGGCATCGGTGGCAGCAGCAGGCACAGCTTCGCCAGAGGCCACACCGGCAGCAGCAGCAGCGGCGGCGGCGGCAGACTTCTTGACTGTCTTCTTCTTCTTGACCGGCTCAGGGTACTTGTGGTTGATATCGGGGATGGTGAATTCGTCGTAGTAGATCTTGATGTGCTGCTTGAGCTCGCCATACTCGTTCCACTCTTCGATTTCGACAATATCCTATTCTCTACGGTCAGCTGAAATGTCCCCGATGCTCCGTTGAGTGAGCTGTAAGCCGCAACCAAAAAAAGGCCACCTTACCCCTAAAACAAGCCCCTCTTGCACCAGCGCAGGAAACTTCCTCGCCCGGCCGTTCTCGTCCTTGCCGGCACGGCGGCCCCAAAGCATGCGAGCCTTGTCATCGGTCGAGATGTCGATGGCCTTGAAGGGAACGCGGTTGGCCCGCAGAATTGTCTCGAGACGCGATGTCGCGGTGACAATGTGTGAGGAGCCGGCCGTCAGCGACGTGTAGATGTACAGCGCGGGATCGGTCGAGTAGGACGCCATGGTGCTATGCTATGCGATGCTGAGTAAAAGAAACAAAAGACAGAAAACACACAGAAGCAGCTACGCAGAGGTTAAGCGATCGCTAATCTTGAATGCTCTGGATTCCGAGTCACGATGTCGCGTCCAGGTGTCGGCGATGCATTGAGCTGTTTGCCTCTACCCGGGAGATGGCCCAAGCTGTGGGGGCGGGGTTCCAGTAAGTAGCAGTGCTCCGTAGTGCCTGGATCGAGCGCTACAGCGGGCAAAAAGGGGTCGCTTCAGCGGGAAACTGTGATGGGCAACGCTAGGGCGGGCCTTAATTTGCGTGCAAGGGACCTGTAAATTGCAGCTTCGTTTGGGGCTTCGTATCGCCGGGGCAGGGTGACAGCCGTGCTAGATGGATCGGGGCATGTCTTTCAGCTGCGATGAGCATCTACAGGCGCTGCTTTGGGCATAATTAGGTGCTGATGGAAGCATTTGAGCTAATGAGAAAAGGATTTGATCAATTGAAGCCATCATCAGTGGCTATTACAGGTACTACACCCTACAAGCAACAACAGGGCGAATCCAACCCCCGTATATACCGGCTGAGCCGAAGCTGAAAGATTGCCGATCCCTTCTCTGTTGAACAAAGGATCGTATCGTGAGGAAGCAGCATGCTCACCACAGCACAGCACGGACACCCATCCAGACAATCTTCCATTCCTTTTTCTTGGCCGTTGGCTTCGTATATCCTCCCGTAGAAGCAAAATAGAACGCCTTAGTCATACCACAACACGAAGATACAGAGGTACCTAGGTATACGTAGTAGTAAAATAATTCGCGCCTCAGGCACCAAACGGCAGCTGAAAACAAACCTGACTAAGCTATTGTACGGACTTTCGGCCTTTTCTTCTCCAGCTGCGACAATATGGAGCACCGCGAGAAATATCGCGCCGCCACTCACAAACCGGTTTGAACAAGGCCTCACTCCACCACAAGGCAAAAAAAAAAAAAAAAAAAAAAAAAAAACCTCCCAACACTAGTGTGGCGTCTGAATGCACGCTGGCCACACGGTAGACCCAAAGTTGTCTGCCTTGGCAGCATCTCGATGGACGAGTCAAGCTGGCCCATCTCGTGAGTCAGCCCAACGCAACTGCTCGACACAGTATTAACAAGGGGCATCGGGCGTCTCACAGCACGGTAGCGTCTCTCCTCGGCGAGCGGGGGAAGCAGTTTGCCAAATTGCCAGTGGGGAGAGAAGAGCCTGGAAACGCCCAATTTCGCCCTGGCCTCTTCGTTTTGGCGCTGCCGGTTGTTTGGGCTGGAAGCGCGCAATGGCCTGGGCCTGGAGCCGGGGGTCGACCAAAGCTTGAGATAGGGGACCTGGACCGAAATGAGCTCGCCCTCCCTTAATACGCTGCGCCGGCGCTGACACGGCGACCTTGAAACGCGCACGACATGCCCGGCCACGGCTACCGGCCTAGAGCCAATTTCAACTTCAACCGGAGCGAGCACAGGCACAGGCACAGGCACAGGCACAGGCACGAGGTCCAAGTGGAAGTGGACGTGGGTGAGGGATTATGTGTGTGTGTGTGTGTGTGTGTGTGACGGCGGCGTGTCGTACATGCTCGTACATGCACACAGTGTCCAGCTCGAGCATGGATGGGAGAAAAACCTCGAGTGAGATGGCGAGAATCAGAAAAGTTTTTTTTTTCCCTGCTGTCGTCAGCTTCTGCCAATCACCAGCTGCTGAGGTTGCATCCAGCAGCGCCGCCGAAGAAGCATATCGACCACAGCACATGGCCAATCCCGGCTCCCGGATGCAAGAATAGCTCAACGGAAAGGAGGGTCAATGGATCTAGGATGCGCTTCCGAGAGGCCATTTATGCAAGGTACCGCGAGATGGCCAGTGAGATGCTGGCTCAGGTCCACCATCGGGTCTTTGTTGCGTGGTAGTGTCCAATCACAACAGGTGCCTGGATGCGCCAGCTCACGAAGCCAGTCCACAAGCCGCTCAATGGTCTGCGCCATGCTGGCTTGAGGGTTGACCGGTCGCGCCCAGGCTCCGTTGGGGATCCATTGCCATCCTACGTGGCCGCTGCCTGGTGGAACTGTCAGAGATTTCCCACCGGCGGACAGTCAAGACAAAAGGGAATCGGGCCCCTCAGCTCGGCTTTGGATTCTTCTTCTCCCTCTCTTTCTCATCACTCACCACACTCTTTCAAACACTCTCATAGCTGTCTCGACGACATTGCTACTATACACACACACACTCTCTCTTCTAAACTGCTATACGCATACTAGCCCGGCGCTTCTAGCCCACTGCTCTCTTTCAAGCAACAAACAAACCACATCCGGATTCAAGTCTACGACTCATTCTCAACAACCGTCAAAATGCAGTTCTCCACTCTCCTCATTGCTGCCGGCGCTGCCGTTGTCGCTGCTGATAGCACGTCGACTCTGACTGCCACCACCACCAAGACTTACACCATCACTCAGTGCCCCGAGACCGTCACAGACTGCCCTTACCGCACTCCTACCGTCCCTGTGACCACCTCTGAGGCTGCTGCCACCACCACCGAGGCCACTTCTGCTGTTGAGATCACCACTTCTGCTGCCGAGACCTCCTCTGCTGCCCCAACTTCTTCTCACTACTGGCCCGTCTCCAACTCCACCTCTGCCACCGCTGTTGGCACCAACCCCGTCGGCACCACTGCTCCCACCACCATTGTCACCATTCCCTCTGGCACTGGTGTTCACCCTACCGGCCCTGCCGGCAGCGGTCCTTCTGGCACCGGAAGCGCTCCCCCTACCGTGCCCACCAGCGGTGCCGCCAAGGAGATGGCTCAGTCTGGCGTCATTGCCGTCGCCCTGGCTGCCGTCTTTGCCCTCGTCTTCTAGACGCACACCCTTCTTTTTCACTTCTATCTCATAGAGCCAAAAGCTCTATGAACCTTTTTTTCACAACATTCAATTCTTCCACTCTTTACTCTTACAAATTCTTCTACGGGGACGGACGTTTGGTGTTCCAATCAACTGGTGGACTGCAATGTGAATAGATGACAAATGAGTTGGGTCGATACCCGGTGTTTTTTTAATGGCTTCACTTCTACGCTCTGGATGAGCGGGCTGATGTTTGACGACGGCAATGTCGACGCATCAGATGGGCGTATGGATGCAGCATGGGCTATTTTTTGGCGCCGTGACTGTGGCGAAACGCTTTTTGGATATGCCACGATTGGGCTCTCTTGGGATGAGACATGAACCAAAAAGCTTTTAGATACCTTTGCATTTCAATTGAAAAAGAGACTGGCTTGTCATGATACCTCTTTGTGTGTTTTTGCTGTGCGTTGATGTAGATGTGACCGTGGTAGACTGAGGCGTGTATAAGCGATTGCCACTGCTTTGAAGCATCTTGGCCAAGGTCTTTGTAAGAGCTCTTTGAAATCTCTCACCGCTTAAGCAATAGCTGCCGTTCATTTGCTTTGAAGCCGTATTCAGTCCCATCACGGGGCTTTCCCAACCCTCCTTGCATACTGCACAACAGCAACACGTAAGTTCAAACGCAAACCATCAACAAACCGTAAGCACTTGCATGAGCGCACCCAAACCCCAATTGATCAGCACAAGAACAAAAAAGAAGGTTTCAGCAGATTGAGTTTGTCCAAAATCATCAATCACGCCCGTTCCGGCAGCTAATGCAAGGGGAGAAAAAATGAAGAAAAAAAAATACAATCACCAGTTCGGTATACACTTTTTTTCCCCAGCTCGTCTTACACACATTACATTCGCCAATTAGCGTGTTTATATACCCATATATATATACAAAATTGTTGCTGCCTGCGTTATAAGAACTTCCGCCAATCCGACCAATGTCGATCCCTATGTTAAAAAGTAAAAAGTAATATAAATTAAAATTCATTATTAAACAACATGGGCTTATCCGATCCGACGGATGTGTTAACACAAACGCTGCAACATGTAACCATCCATGAGTACGACGAAAAATCCCCCAGGTCGCCGACCAGAAGAAAATTAACAGCCCCCACAACTCCATACCATTGACTCCATATATCGTTTGTGCCCAGGCAACCTGTATTAGAACGGATACAGAAAAGAGGAAAGAGGGGCAAATTTGACAGCTCGGTCTAAACAGCGAGAGGAGGAAAAAAAAAAAAAGGGAGGCAGGGATTAAAGATCCATAACCGTTTTTCTCTAGTCTGGATATGGGTTACAAAAAGGCACAAGGGGAGGGAGGGGAGAGAGGGGGAATTTTTTTCTCTTTCGGTTGGATACGGGCCGATCTCCACCTCGGATGGGAAGTCGAGTTACGGAGAGAACAGGAGGAGAATTTCCTGGTGTCATTGCGTAAACAGTCAGGTTAAAAAAAGGGGGGATTGGGGGTTGATGGGGACAAACGTTTGGAGAAGGAGGAGAGATCTGGTGTTGGGGAACTTTGGGCAGCGTGAGCATGGCGTCATTATCACGACTCGGACGGACATGGGGGTTTGCTGCACTCAATGCGTCTTTGTCTGGTTGGACTAGATCAGGAGGCCTTGTTTCGAAGCCCGGAGCTTTTGAATGCAAGGACGTACGTACTCGTACAGGGCAAGGGGAATATGGGGTCAAAGAGAGACTAGGCTTCGAGTTAGCAGTAGACGAACTCCAGAGTAATAAGTGCGTGTTTCTATGTTACACTAGTTAGACAAAGAACCCCAACTCCAGCTTGCTGCAATGATAGATTCAAAGAGGATTAAGCATGTGAAAAGCAAAGACAAAGACAAAAAAAAAGGAATGTGTCCCGGTCGGTGCGTCATGGATTCCCTTTGTTTGTGTGTATGGTAACAACGGGATGGGAATGCCAGAATGACAGAGTGACAGAATGCCACCCTCCAACCCCATCCACTTCTCGTGGCCTCGTGATTAACAACCGCAGATGGAAAAAGGCAAGAAAAAAACACATAATAAAAAAATAATAAGGGGGCCTGCCATTGGTCCCGCATCTGTTATATCCCTTATCGTATACCCATCCAGAATGTGCCTTTTGCAAGGCGCACGCAAGTCTAGAAGCTGCGTCAAAGCTCTCTGCATGCCCAAGAGCTCCATGTACTCCAGCTGAGAAAAACAAAAGAAACAGCCGACAAAAAGGAAGAAGGCCGAAAGAAGAGAACCCCAACACAAGGGGGGAAAAGGCAGGAGGGCGGGAGGGACACAAACACGACAACGCAGAGATCAAGGACCCCCGGCTTCCAGAAGTTCAAGCCTAATATGGATACTCCCATAAAATCACTCTCGTTTGTTGCGCATTCCTTTGAGTCCGGTGTCCACATTCGTGTTTTAGGAATCCCTTGGCATAGGGGGCTCAACATGGACAAAACATGAACAAAGCTGGGTTCGTGGCTCCTGCGCATGCCTCGGCAGTGATTTTAATCTTCAAAGTTGGCAAGTTTGCTTCCTTTCACATCACTCCTGCCAGGGGGTTCCCCTCAGCCGCACCCTCAACAAGAAGACTTTTTGGGGGGATTTGGTAGTAGAAACGTATAGCCCCATGGGTGAGCTTTTTCGCTCGGGGGGGAAACAAGTCTTCCAGTGTGACTGCCGGCCCTGGCATGACACCAATCAAGAACACGACTGGCCGTTTGCAGCGGCGTAGGCGCATGCACTGCAAAGTGCACAGTTGGAGTCAGCTAGATATGGACAGTCGTGTGTCATGGCGTGAGCGCACTTCTTATTGGAGAAGGATATAATGCCAGGGGTGAGAGTCTCAAAGTATATGGGAACATCCTCTTCTATTGGTCCGCGTGATGACAATGGATATGACATTGGTGACTTGGCTTGATGTATGGATCTGTCAGAGAGGCTTCTCATTTTGACAGAAAGGATATCAATGTGATATAAAGGGCCCGTTGGAGCTTTAGCTGCTTCGCTAATTCAGCCTCTTTAGTTCAGAAAGCGGTAGTCTGCGTCCGCAGAGGAGACTTATCGAACAATAGCTGAAGAAATTGTTTCAAAAGTTCCTTGGAGTGTGTTTGGCTGTGGGGGGGCAGAGGTATAATAAAGTCAAATAAAGAAACCGTCCAATGGTAACGTGTGATGAGAGATGTACTGGTGATAGTGACGACAAAACTTGGGACGTGAGTGGCCTTATTAAAGTTTGGAAGAGGAGTAAAAGAACAATCAGTGGCCTCTGATAAAAGACAAATGAGGACTCAGAGACAAGGGTTTCTGGCAGATGGAAAGCTGGCAGGCCACATGAACACATGCTGCGGCGCGCTTACTAGTATGTGGACGATGAACAACAAGGCTGTCAATGGATGCTAGTCGTAGTTCTTACACGGTAAACTGGGTCGACCTCTTGCTGCTCCACCTCCCAAGATACAAAGTAGGGCTGAGGAGACAGACCAGGAGCAAGTGATGGGAGTGCGACTGGGGCTGGGAGTGTGAGCAGGCGAGAGGCGTGTGCAGGCAGGGGAGGGAAAAAAAGCGAATCATGGCAGTTGATGTACGATCCATGCTCGCTTCGGCATGACGGGCGACGCCGCAAACGACTGGTGGGCAACCGGCCCTGGTATATGTATCTTGGTGTGTGCGTCTGAACGCCTGAGTGTGCGCGCTAGGTTTGAATGAGTGAGTGAGCGAGCGAGCGAGTAAGAATCAACGAGCGCCAGTTACAGAGAGAGGACGAGAGAGGCAGAAAGGTAGGCATGTGTGCGTGAGAGCTTTGAGCACACCCCCTCCATGAACCCGGCTGGCCTTTTCATCGGTCCCCACGCCTCCGTGACGTACCGGCCGGCCTCGAGGAGGCTCCGTGGTGTGGAAAAATAGGAACCACGATGGCTGAAGGATGCGAGGTTCCGAGTCCTTGGTTGATATAGTATGCTGGGGTAGGAGGATTACTCCGGATCGGGGACAGGTTCGCTGCAAAGCTCTTGATGAGGGTGTCCAGCCCGTCCATGTTCCGCCGAATATGTATATCGAGTCGTGCCAAGCATCTGCATATTGCACGTATGTATGTACCTTTGCTGCCTCTCGTGATATGACAAAAGGGGATCTGGCCACCCCTCCACCCCTCTTCCGGGAGGTCCATTTGGTGTCTGCCGCTCAAGAGAAAGACGGCATCCCCTCGTTTTTTTTTTTTTTTTTTGGTGAGTACAGCAGCGTAATGTCCCGTCCAAGGCAGGCTCTTTATGACCGCCTGCATACACGCATCTGCTTCCCAAACACCAAGGGAGCTGGCGGTGAGGCGCTGCAGTCAACAGTCGCAAGAAGCTGGTTGCAGAATTGGTCACGTTCATGAGAGAAGCCTGTCACAAATGCCTAAATCCTGAGATTTCATAGCCACATCCCCATTCCGAGCCAGCCAGTGACGACGCCTCACCAGGGCCGGCCAAACCTGACGGGGGTCGGGATTAGGTACCACAGATAGGTCCAGAAGGGATAAGTCTATCCCAGATGGCCTGCTAATGGATGGCGGCAGCAAGCCGCGGCACTGGCTGTCGCTCGCCTGGTGGTAGCTAAATGGCACTTGGGTACGCTGGTCTGGCCAATGGATAGGTGGGGATACCGCGTGGGCAACCAGTGCTCCTGGAGAGCCCGGTACCGGTTCTCTCCAATTCAAAAAAGAGTCCCCGTCCATCCATCCATCCTCATCCTCCTCATCCATGCGACGGGGCGACCTTACCGAACGCCGGCCGAAGACAATGGTGGGAAGAGGCGCCGCGGGAGGCCACTAGGCGAGACGATACAATAGGATTTTACCGAGAGGAGAAGTCCTCGGTGAAGTTTAGCATAGAGAATCGCGGAACAGGCTCCGTCGGGATGGTTGCCAAAGGTGCTCGCCAAAGGTGCTCGTCACGGTGCTCGGTGAATGGGGAGCAATTTTGCTAGTCGCCACTCTTTGT